TAGAGTTATATGAAAAAACTGACACTAAATAAGAAGATAAGAGACAGCTAGTGTATTTGCAAATTTGAAAAACAGTTCCATGTATCTGACCAAAGATAACAAGCACAAGTCAATCCCTCCCAGTCTGCATATTGTACATGTTATGCTTTCTTTGCTTCAACTGTACAAAAACCTGAGACTGGGGGTCAACCTTTTCAGGGAAAAACAAGTGAAACCGCTCCATCAATGTCCTGAACACATTTGTTTGTGTCTTACTCAGATTCTGAGCGGTGTAATCCTAGAAGTCCTGGGAGAAGAATTTCCAGAGGTCATCACACCGGAGGTGGGCGCAGCATGGACAAACCTCTTGGCCACGGTCTACTGCAGTATCTCTGCCATCTACAAAGAACTGGGCTGGGAAAAGCTCTCAACCTCGACTGGTTGAACGTTTTAAACTTGGACTACCCATATGGAAAAGAAGTAGTAAAATTTTCTTAGAAATATACACGCTCTCTAATAGTAAAAGTTAGTTTTATATACATACATATTGTAATACTATGATTTACTCATGATTGTGTCCATTTTCTGTTTTTCTGGTGTCGTAGTTTGAATTTTTTTTAATGTTGCATGAGAAAAATGTGAAATGGCCACTTTCATATGTAAATTGATTGTATATAAGCCTTGAGAATTACACATATAAAACAAACATTTACTCGGTTTTTGTTTGGGTTTTTTAAATTTTCTATTTCTTTTCCACATAGGCAGGCATGCGGGGAAACCTTCTGATTTCCAGGCTTCATAGGACATTAATCAGTTGACTCTAATGTGAGATACAGCTTGATGTAATCTAAGATCATCATGGGACATCCACTCTTACGTGTGGTTAGTAAAGTGTGTTTCTAGTGTGTATAAGAGAGGGAGAGACAGAAAGAAAGAGAGGGAGAGAGGGAAGAATAAAAGAAAAAAATCAGCTCACCTTCTTACATTTGTACTCTTGTAAAAAGCTAAACCATTAAAAAGAGAGAGAGCAAAGAGGAAGAAAATGCAAACATAGACCCACCAGTGGACTAGAGGTCACATTTGACTTGGATGTGCCTTCTGCTGAATGTGTATATCTCGAAACAGAAATGTAAACAGCATTCTTTCTAAACAGTATGATGTCTTTCAGATGTTTAATCTTATCAGTCTGTATCCACTTGTAGCCACTTTATTAGCTCTTAAGTATACGAGACGTTTTTACATTTTTACATTTAAATGTGGCGATTGTACATTTTTCATCATGGCTCACGTTTGTATCTGTAATTGATTCAATTTTCAAATAAAAAGAAAAGCCTCTGTTTATCTGCTGCTCCAATGTGACCCTCCTGTCACTACACACTCGTGGGCATACCGACAAAATTACACCTTTCTTTTCTATTCCTTGCCCCACTGCTCCCTTATTCTGTGCTTGAGTCAGCAGTGCTAAGTATAAGTGGCTTAGCCTTCGACAGTCCGTATTTATACCCTCATTTATCCCACTATGTGCTCTCTTTTCATAATATATTGTAGGAACACCGGACTTGGCCTGCAGAGAAGTCATTAGGGGGTCTGGTTTTGGTATATTTAGAATCAGTCCCATGATATGTTCTAAACATTCAATGTTTCCCAAGTTATGTTTGAGCACAATAATATTGAACTAGATAATCCACTTATAAAGCAATGTTAGCTGATTGGTATGTTGATCTTTAGACTCATGTTGCGAAGCTACCCTGTTGCCCCCGTTACATAATTCTGCCTATCCTCAACTGAAAAAAAGACAATATACTGATGAGATGGATTTAGCATGCTGTGCTAATGACATGGTGGTAAGGGTGGGCTGTTTTTAGAACAGCAACTCACAGCATGCTCTGTTTACCTCACAGTCCTGCCAGCGAGATCTAACCCCCCCTCCTTGATCCTAGCTAATCCTCCATGGTAATCTCCCCAATCATGTGAGCGCCAAGGCTGGAATAGTCAGATTGTTACACCACAAACTCTGCCTTTTACCATTCAAGCCTTTCAATGGCGGAAGACGGTTCAGTGCTCTGAACCACCAGCGTTCCCAAGGCAGGAGATCCTTGGGGTAGAGCCATGTGTACGACTATGATGGTCCTCACCACTATTGCTCTCATCCTACGACAGAGGTTCTTCAACAAAATCAAACCGTGAGTCTAACTTTATAAACCCCCGTTTGAATTTTCACATCTAGAAATGTTGTTTTATTTTTGCATTTAACCCCCTCATGTCAGTATTTGCTCAAGCAAATGCATGAAGAATAAAGAGGAAATTTACCTTGAGCCATTGGAGAAACACATTAAATAGCTAATTAAATAATTGACACAAAAACTATACTTTTAGCACATAAAAGCCATATCTGTTTCATATGAGGGGAACAGCATGAGAGACTGGTTTTCATTGATTCGAAATCAGCCATGTGATTATTTTAGGGCTTGCTTCGAGCAGCAGCGTGGTGGATTAAGTGGCTGGCTATGTAACGACAGTGTATTCCAGCTTTTTTTTAATGGAGACATGAATGGAGGAGGAAAAAAATATCAGTGCTCTTGAGTTTATGGCTACTAATTGACTTTAAGTGCAATCATCTCAGGCCCCTGGCCCTGCTTACCCACTCACACTGCAATAGCAAACAACGCCAACGGCTACAGCACCATGGAGCACGGCAGCATCTAGCTCACTATTAAGACTGAAAAAAGCAAACAGAAATAAATGAAACAGGAAAAACTGTGTGTACATTTTCCATCATCCAGATCTTAAGATTTTATCATGATAAAAGTGTACATTGTGCTCTTGTTATGTATCACCTCCCACAGGCAGAGAGAGGAGTTTGAGGAAGACGTGCCATACATGAAGAGCAACGGAGCAACAGAAACAGAGAAATGACTGGGTAAGAAAACACAAACAAATGACCTGAAGGGAAGCATACTGAGAAAATGCAACACCTTTTCTTCAAATTTGAGAACATGTGAGCGACAGATTAAAAAGCGGCAGACAACAAGATCCGATGGCTTCTTTAGTGCTTAGCGCTGGCCAGATTCCAAAGTTTTAGGATTTACAATTCCCATAATTCAACTTACAGCCCAGGTTGTTAAATGCTGTTGAAACTGTGTCTCTGTTTACAGGTTGTTAAATCGCAGCGAACCTCCAGTGCTCATTAAAACACTGTTTTTAATGAGGAATCATTCAAAAACAATCAGGATTTTCAAGGAAGTTTTCAAAATCCTGATCTTTTATGAATGTGCTTGTGATGAAGATTACGCATTATGTTTTGTTCTAGGATTTGACAGTGTTTATACAGTCAGTTTTTAAGAATCCAAATCACACTACAGAACTCAACATATGATATGTACAAAACATTTTTGTTGTAAATCGAAAAGAAAACTCAATTCATTAAATAAAAACATTACAACATACTTAACACCAACACACCAAAATTGAGAATCACGACGGGTGACGGAAAGACAGGCTGACAATTATGAGGAAATGGTGTGTGTGTGTGTGTGTGTGAGAGAGAGAGAGAGAGAGAGAGAGAGAGAGAGAGAGAGGAGGGGTTTACAAAGGGGCTTCAGACAAGTGGAGAAAGTGGAGCAGTGGAGCATGTTGGAGAGGCACAGATGCATAAAGAGCCAAGACGCCTGCCCCACATTTGGCTTTTAAGTACTCACTGCTACACTGCTAACACTAAATGATTCAAAGGCAGAAGAAACAATGCACCATCTCTTTAGAGGGTTATTATAAATACATTGCCTTCCTGGAACCGCAGTGTTAAATGCGAATGTGAAAGATCGCTACATAAAATAGTAAACCTGTGCCCCACTGCAGGATGGAGGTTTCATGTAGGTCACAGGCCACCTTAGGAGAGCGCTTTTACGAGGGCAATTGGATTTAGCTGAGTCAGAATGACTATTCCTTTTAAATCATTATTGGCCAATGCCATTCATGACTTTGCAACTAACAGCATTTCAGCACCACACTGTGTGTTCGCAGTGTTTACAGTTCCAATTGCATAAGTGGTGTTTTTTTCTGAACTTCCAGCCATCTCTTAAAATGTCATTAGTCATTGCAAACCAGAATTGTGAGTGGAAAACCTCTTCCTGCCTTAGTTTATTTTAATTTAGTTTGCTTATGTGTGTCAGATACACCGTGTAGCATTTGATTGCAGTAAATTATTCCCTATAAATAAACTGTCTTTAAAATTTGCGGCAATGTCACGTGTTTCAAAATCATTAGAGGATCATTTCCAACAGGAGTGAACTGAGGCACGCACCCTCGGTTAGCTTTATCACAGGAGATAATGAGAGAAGTCATAACTTACGTGCATTCTGACACATTCCTGAGTCGATCTAGTCTAACGTGTGCTGGATTTGGGCTGTTCAGTCTGTTATGACAGAGGAAGGAAAAACCCCACTGATAAATCAATTCTGCAATAAAAAAGAAGAAAAAAAAGAAAACATTCCAACATTTCTGACATTCCAGGTGCGATATTTTAAACATAGATTGAATGATCTGCCAGTTCCTCTGTCATCTCTAGAATACCTGCAAATGCTGTGCTGTAGTGATGAAACTGAAGGAGGTTTCGTAACTTTTGTAAACCTTCAAAAGATGCACGAAGAACAGAGATGCCTGCCTCACATTTGGCTTTTGAGGACTCACTGTTACTACGCTAAATGATTCATGAGCAGAACAGCAATCCATCATCTCTTTGGAGGTGTAGTATAAATACATCACCTTCCTGAAACCGCACTGTTAAATGCCGGTGTAGGGGAACTTAATAAAGTAGTTGACCCCCATAATGAACCACAGCATGTTAGCTTCATGAATCATCTTCTGGAGACAGCTGTTTTCCCACATCATTCCCACTTTGCATTTAATATTTACATTTTTTTCCCAATTACTTGCTCCTCCTCCCCTGCAGACGTCATTTGTTAAATCTTAAGTTGAATAACCCAGAAAACAAGTCTTAATTTATTTTGTGCTTCTTTTTTTCAGCGGCCTCTTGATGTCAACACTTGTTCCACCGATGCTACAGGACAGACTTCATGTAATCTTCTTTGTATTCTCTCAGTGATCTGATTCTAATTCATCTGCATTTGGCAGCTCACAGTAAGGCTCCCACCGGGAGTGAAAAAAAAAGAAATAGAGGGCTACAAAAACAATGAGGCTTGTTTTGATCATGCCTCCCCCCTATCTGTCCAGCAGATGTTCGTTTTACTGAAGAGGAAACAGCAAATGAGTGAACATGGGTATGTTTCAGCTTGGAAGACAAAACTGGACAAAGGCTGAATTTACAACATCGCTAATACTGCTGTCTGCTTTAGAGTCAAAATGTATCTTTAGCTTGTGAATTTGATCAGATTTCCAGGGTTTAAAGTAACAAAAATGTGCCTCCACACAATAAAATGCCACAATGTTTTTCTCTGATTGTCTGATGTTTTACTTTGACATATAAAATTATTTTCCATAAGGAAAAACAATAGAACAAAACATTTTCATACCCTCCAACAATATTACATTTTAAATCTTGCAAAATGTATGTTTCATTCACACATGGTGCAAGTAGCTTCTAGACCAGAGAAGTGAATCCAAGGCCAAGATGCCTTAAAGCTGCATTCTTTTCTAGTGGCCAGCAGGGGGCGACTGCAGTGGTTACAAAAAGACTTCTGGTTATGTTACTGTGACCACTTGCAGTCAGCTGCCAACTTTAAACTAAGTTTGGTGTTTCAGGACGGTGATCAAACAGGAATAAGACGGCAATAAGACAGTTTGTCACTGAATGGGGTCAAGTTAGCAGTTACGTTCAATCTGTTTGTGATCAGCTGTGATAAATCTGTGGAATTACATACACAGAAATTCAATTTAACGATTAACATTCAGAGTTCAGCAAAAAAAATTCTTCAATTTGAAACTGAAATTTTACAAATTCCACAAGAAAGTGGGAGGTAGTTACTCCAGGACTGGCAATTTAACTGCAAAATAACATAGGTGCTCACTATATTTGAGCATATAATCAGCTATGTCCAACCAGCTAATAACCAGTTGAGTCCCACATTGCAAAGACCCACATGACAGATGAGTTGTACTCATTGGAACAGACTGGCACAGACTGATTGCAAGGCGTTTGCAATCTGTCTACATTTCTAAATTAGATGGCAATTATTTGCAAACTTTTACGATTTTGTATTTAGAGTCTGTGTGGTTTGGAGCATGACTGCTTGGAGACAGGTTGCCTCTCACCAGGCAACCTGTGCAATCGCCTCCTGATCAAAAGTAGTCACTCAGGGGTTGAAGGTGTTGCATGCTCGAACTACGTGCAATCAATTGCTGAATGTGAAAGAATTCAATGTCCTTACCAGGCAACCCCAGTTTTTTTTTCCTTTTTCACAAGAAGGTTGGTGTCCTGTTTTTACTCTATTGTTACAGAGCTGTTATATTAGAAGTCCTCAGCTCTCTCACTCGGCCACCGACGTAAACATTTTACTGATAACTTTATGGTTTCAGTTAGAAGTTTAAAGTCATACTGAATAAAACATGAAGTTCACTGTTTTAACATTATTATTAATGCTACCAGTTGGAATTGACATTGTTAGCTGAAGGGCGTACACTGTCCTCGGTTTTATTGTCACTCCCACCCCTCCTTCATCAGCTGCTAAACTTTAGGCTTCATATGGATTTCACTAACCAGTATGACTACTTACATCTTTTATACTGTATATAGTCTCATCTCACACTATGGTTAACCATAGATTACATAAAAGATGGACGCCTGTTTGGAGGCCTGAAAACAGCTAACACCACTCAGGGCTAGCTAACTTGGTGAGCAAAGTCCATTGACATGCTAATTTTGGCAATTGGAAAAATAGGCCTAAAACAAAATGTTTTGACGAGAAAAACTGAACAACAAACTCCATTACATATATTTTAGTGCAACTGAATGCTGATCAAGACCAACCACCCATGCTCCCATGTTTTGCATAACTTCAAGCCTTAGCAGAATTTTAATGGGAACATTAGGGCAAAATTCACATGTCATGAATACAGAACTTAGCTACAGTGGCCCAAATGGTTTTTGCAAAAGGCTGTAAACATATTTATATCGGTGGTAAAACTGAGCATTTTAACATGGTGTATCTGCAGATTGACTCACTTTTGGAGTCAGGCTCTATTGGCTCAACCAAGGAAATGCTGTGCTCAGCACTTCTGTGTTGGCATTATTTTTCACCCCCTAGACTGCTGCTTGTGATTTTCTCAGGAAAATGAATCCTTTCACATATTTTAATTAAACTGATTTTTTACTTTATTTGCAGTCAGTTCTTGTGTTTTTTTCTCCAGGAGAAGACTGCAAATGTAACACTTTCATGGGTAAATCATAGCATGACACATACGTTTTTTTCCTGCTTCTTTTCCATATGGTTTGTGTAAAATTGTTGCACGCAGAGGGCTAGACCTTTGGCAGGATGCATCGCAGCATATCATACAAGTATTTATTTTCCACTCGGTCAAAGTGCTTTTTTTTTTGCCTCCTATCAACATTTAAAATGTCAGCTGACATTACAGTAAACAAAGCACTCCTGTAAAGTATACTGATCACATGATATGCACAGCAGATAATTTAGAAAATAAATAAAATGTTATTTGCACACCCAGGTTACTTTATCAAAGGCAAGTTGCCACAGATTATCACTTGTGTGCATTAGTCCGAAAGTCTCGACAAAACTGCAGAGTCAAAATGAGGCCTGTCCACATTTGCCAGCAGAGGAAGGAAACGTGTCTGTTAACAGCTCCTGTCTGACTCACCAATTCAGCGAAAAGGAAACAATATCGAGCATGTACAGACCTCATGTGCTAAAACTGTTTTGATATTACAATGAATAGGAAACAAAATCAGGTCTAGTTGTATGTAACTCTGTAACACGATGAATGATGGCTTTGAGGAATGCGCTTACTGGAAGACGACAGTCCTCCTGCACCTTAAAACACAGTCCACACAAATCATCACAGAAAAGAAACTTTACAGTTCAAGTAAATGTTAAACATTAGATCAATATTGGAAAATGCCATTAAGATATAAAGCTCACATTCAGCCATTGTCCTTTATTTATCCATTTCAGAGCTCATGGGAGGGAGAAATGACTGAATTCGAACCCAGCGCTAACCACTGCACCTCTGTTCCACCCTACATGAAAATTCGTGTTTATGTATGAGCACATATGCATGTATAGCTTCAACACTGTGGGAGAAACTTCCCTTTGCCATCAGAAAGGCACAAAAAGCTCAGTTTAAAAGGCTTTTAAAAATCTACTTGTAAACTTTTAAAGATGATTACTCTTTTTTTCATTGTTTTTATAATGACTTTTATAAAATTTCAAGTTTAGGTTAAAGGTACTCTTCTAGTCAATTTGCAAGTTGTTTCTGACAACAGAAAAGGCTTTAAAATATTAATAGTATTAGTTTAGTCCTAATAGCTGCTGTAGTAGTAGCAGTAGTAGTAAACTGATTTTAAAATATTACTTAGCTCTGATTTGCCTTGAGTCATTTTCTAAGCTTTGATGCCACCTGCTGGTAAACCACTTTGGCAGACCTCACTAAGCAGGCCCAAGCACTGGTTAAAAATACCAGCTCATGTTCAAAACGACTAACTTCAGTGTTTTTAGACAGCACAAATCAAAAACCTTTTTTCAAACGCCTTTCCCCGAAGGCTTCCTTGAAACTACTCTACCCATAATGCACCTCAAACAGTAAACAGGAAACGTATGTTTTGCCGGTCGGCACGATTGTGGCACCCGCTACTTCAGCCCAAACACCGAAGCTGGTGGTTTACTGCGTATTTTGTATGTAGCTACATTTAATGCTAATCACAAGCCTGGCGCTGGAACACTAGTTAGCTTTTGTTTGCAGTGTGGCTAAGGTGCAACTCTCTGTGAAAATGTGTTGTGTGGGGGCGCTGTGATTTGTTTTTGTTTTTTTTACCGTTAGTCTGCTGGCCAACTTTAAGATGCTAAACGCTAAACACAACGAGCTGTATGAATACGTGACTATTTAAACCACAGTAATTAAGACGAAAGGCTCCAGTCGTGCTATGTTCTTGACAAATGCTAGCTAGAGTAGCTGAGCGGTTGCCAATGGAGACAGGAGGCGCTTATGTGTGTTCATTTTATGCTGCTCTTAAACCCAGAGCTGCTAACAGTGACGATGAAATGATAAATAAATAAAAAATGGATTCTGCTCGGTTCTGTTGCACTGTTAGCTTGATGACTACTCTTACACTGTAAACCCACCAGCACAGATTGAACATGGTAAGTCAAACTGTGCTCTCCCTCGACATTTTTTTGTATTTATTCATTGACGATGTAACGGGGTTTCATTATCTTTGAGGATCATTTCATTATCATTCACTTTTTTCATGATTATCTGCTAAATTAATAAACTTATTTTCACTGCTATTTTCAGGCTACAAAGCCGAAGGGGAAAGCCTCGAAAAGTAAGTTAAAGTTGTGCTATTTGAATCCTACAAACTTTCCTTCTTTTTTTAAATAAACTTTCAGGAGTATCAAAAATAAGGCCTGGGGCCCAGAATCAATTCGACAAAAACTTCTAAACGGTCTTGTACCAAGTAGTGATTTCCAATGTTTCTGTGTATTTGTTTTAATGTGTAATGTGTTTGCTTATATTGAGTGTAGCTAACATGATTTATTAAGGGGTTATGTATATAAAATAAATAAAAACACAGTGTCTTTATATAACTATTATTTTGTATTTGTTGCAATTTCTGCTCCTTTCTTGGCCAGATTACTCTTTAAAAGGACACTTTTAATGTCAGTGAGACTTAGGTGGATAAATAAAGGCTTCTATATAAGTAAGTTTGCCCAAAACTGATTGCAGCTTCTACCTTGTGACAGGAATGTTGTTTGTGGCTCCAAACGACTTGATAGCAATCATGAAAAATATGTTTGACAGACAACAAGTCATTTACAAGAGTTTAAAAAGGATGAATCTCATTTGGTACAACACTGACCCGCTGGGTGGCTTTGAACAATCTAAAGCAAGGCATAAAATTAGACTTTTAACTGATTTACAGCTTGATAAAGAGCTCTCCCATGGCCATTCATACTACACCAAAGTAATTAAGTAATATATAGACAATTAATTTTTGTACAGTGACAGTTAGGGGAGTTTCACTGGTCTGGTCCACTTTATATTAAAGTATGTTGTATCTGGCACACAATTACATCTTTGTCCCTCGTGATTGTACCTCAGCAAAACATTGACTGTAAAATGATAAAAGCCTATTTCTACATTAAAATATAACCCAGTGTGTCTCCGTCCTCCTGATCCAAAATCATTGGATCAGGAGATGTCGTACCACGACAAATACAGATGTGGGCAGCAGCAGTAGTATGCCTCCCCTGCACCATGCTGAAGTTGACTGTATACCTCTGTTGCTTTTCTAAGGTTCATTCAGGGATGATTTGCTTGACAGCTTGCTTGATGATGACAGTAAGTGAGCACAGTTGTGCAGTTTTATCAGAATTAGTGTCTATCTTTATGTTAAAGTGTGTCATAATATTTTCTTGCAATAATTTGCCAACTAGAGCAGCCAGTAAGGACAAAAGCATCACGCGGTGGACCTATGTATAGGTAAGTTAGAAGGAAGATTTGTGAATTGCAATGTGCCAGCTGTAAATTATTACTCCTCTTCATGTTCTGTTTTCTTTTCCTGCTCATCTGCTACTGATTATATCTTCAGCACGCTAGCACAGGAGATAAAAATGGATGGTGCGGACACTGAGGTATGTAGGATAATATGCAAACTGGGTCATATTCACCCCGTTTTTTTTTTCCTTTTGTGTTTATTTTGTCTTTTTATATTTTCTTTTGTCCAAGGACTCGGATGTGTCAGCGGCTGATCCCAGCGACATACTCAAGAGCATGAAGGTGGGTCATTAATTGAGGTTGCGGCGGCAGAGATAAAGTTCACACTGCACGTTTCACTTTTCGTCTCTGTCCTCGTGCAGGACATGGACGACATGGACGCTGACCTCTTTGCATCAAAGAAGAAGCCCAGTTCGGCTCCCGCGCAAACAAAGCCACTTGTTAGCGAAGGACCAAAGAAAGACTCTGCTGTGCTCGAGAGCAATGCAAAACCAGAGGGAGCAGGTAATTCAGTGCAGAGTGTTCTCGCATAAATTACTTTCTCATTATTAGCTCCACATTATTACCAGCTTTGAAGTTTTACATTAATAGCAGCGATCAGAAAAAGGCTTTTGTCTACCTTTGCTTCCCTCAGATGAACCCACCAAAGAGGGGAAGAAGCCGAACTCTGCACCTTTATCCTCAGCGCGGAGTTATAAGAAGTTCACCTTCTCTGGTAAGCGAGTCTCCCCCCTCCCTGTCGTGACATCCGCTTCCTTGACTGAGCTTTGTATAAATGAACACGGTGCAGATGTGTTGTTGACTTGCAGCTTTGCTTTGTTTCTCTCAAAATGTTGCTTTAACTCAGACAGCGGTGGTGAGGATGAAGGTGTTGCTCAGACTTCTTACGCTAAAGGTACATTACTGTGGTTGATACGTGTTTAGTCCTGTACTTGCAGTTAAGTCACATCAGTGGGTGCTTGTGGGTAGTATTTAACAGTGGAGGTGTACACTGTAAAATGTTTGCTATTCCAAATCGAATCAACAAATCTGGAAGTATATGGAAGGAATTAGATTTGCATTTTTAGATACGCTGAAAACCAAGAACAATGATCCAACTAGCAGATGGAATTCCCCTTCAGTTATTCCAATATTATATCTATACATGTAAAGGGGCAAGTATAAATAATAATTTGAAATTGTGCCTATGGATAAAGCTCATATATCCAAACTTAATGTCACAAGTTCATCTGCACTCTTCAATTCTCTCTGCCAGTAAAGTTTGTGGTGTCGTCAGAAGTAAAATGTTGTTTTTGACGGTGACTATGAACTAAAGCATAGAACATATTACAATTAAAGAGATTTTGCTCAACAATGTTCAAAAACTTTGAGTGAGCAATCGTCAGAGATTGTTGACAGACATGCAAAACACCTAAAACAACAGATTTCTGCAAAGAAAAAAATAGATTCTGTTTGATCTAGCTTGTGTACACTTACGTTTTTGACAACAGACTATTTATATTTATATTTTGTTCAATAAATGGTAGATGGACATGATCAGAAATATTACTCAGGTTGACTGTGAGTTCGTGTGAACTGTAGCCTCAATTTCCTGTTCTTAGCTGACCGAAATCGCATCCAGTATTGTCTTCTGCTGTAGCCCATGTGCTTCAAGGTTTGACAGGTTCACTCAGAGATGCTTTCTGCAAAACTGGGTTTTTCAAGTTATTTGAGTTAGTGTTGCCTTCTTATCAGCTCAAAGTAATCCGTGTGCTCTCATCTGATCTCTAGCATTAACTACTCTAGATTCAAAGTCACTTAAATCAGCTTTCTTTCCCATTTGGATACAAAGTTTGAACTTCAGCAGGCCATCTTGACAACATCTGCCTACCTCAATGCACTGCCATGTGATTGGCTGATTAAATATGTGTGTTAATGAGCAATTGAAAAGTGTGCCTAACAAAGTGGCCACTAAGTGTATGTTTCACAACTGGGAAATGTGTCACTTAATGAATCCAGTTCAACAAAGTACAGTTTCAAGTTATTGTATTGGTATAGCAGATAAAAAAAAATAATAATAAAGTAAGTATTTACGTGTTTTATTACCCTTTTACACTCTGGGGCCCAAATCCATTATTCATGATATAAAGACTCTTATTTTTTGCAGATCTAGACGACCCCCTGGATGATTTGCTTCCAGGTGACTCAAAGCCTGACTTGAAATCTAGCTTCTCCAAACCTGAAAAATCTGTGCCATCTCCTTCAGCATCTCCCATTCTAAAGAATGAAACGAGTAAGCCTTAAACTTACCAGGATCCTTTAGTTTTCTTTCTTTTTTTAAATAATCGCCAAATGCTGAATGCTTGTGTTTTATTCTTTGTTGATCAGCTAAGGCAACAAAGAAAGGCGAGCTCACGTTTGAGGATGATAAGGATGACCTAATGGATGCACTCGGATTTGACAGCAATAAAAACAATCCCAAGAAAAAGGAGACACCGCTTTGGTCTCCCAAGGAAAGGTAACAACTTTTTTTTTCCCTCTCACTCTCATTGTTGTCTTTATTTATAGCACTCAAATGATGAATAATTACTGTGGTATTGCTTTGGGCTGCAGCTAAAAACATAACCAAACTCTGACTTTACAAACTAGCCTCACTCTGGTTTGTTAGCCTAGCTGCTTTTGTGCGTCACCTCTGTTCCCTGTTGCTCTCAGAGCCGACGCCCCTCAGAGACCTCGTACCAGAATTGATGAGATTCTGGAGAGTTTCACGTCACCGCGTCTTCTGGAGCGACCACCAACGGGCGAGAGGAAGGATGAGCTTCAGTCTCAAGAAAACAGGACAGGAACACAACAGGAGAAGACGTCTGCTGGGAAAGGTGATCGAGCACCATAGTTTTGTCCTTAACTTGGCTGTAATTAAATACTATTTTAAAACAATGAAGTAGCTAATCGTTTTCCCAACTATCAGAGCCTCGTTTAGATGATGATCTCACATTTGGATCCTATCAGCCCACACTGGGATCCACTTCTGAAGGGCGTCAGTCTCGTAGACAGTCTGTCAGGTGTGCCCAGGTTTTGTTATTTACAGTTTGCTTCATGCCTACAGCTTTCAGCAGGACAGAAGTAATCTTTTTTTTTCTCACGACCAGATTTTCTACTGAGGACATGAGTGTATCTACGCCAGAAAAGAAGCCAAAGCCCACCACTCCCACATCTTCTCGACAACGCAACTCAGCCGACTGGCTGGGCCTCAAGACAGAAGATGAGCCCGTCTATCTAGAGGAGGGCGTTGATAAGACAAAGAATCCAGCAGAGGCTTCAAAGAGCCCCTCGTCTCCTTTACTGGAGAGAAAGCCCTCATTCACTGGTAGCCATTCCACATCTGTTGCAAAAACGCCAGAAGAGAGCTCAGCCCCAGCTGACAATACCATTAAACAGGCCAAGCCTGAGGTTTCTAAGACCCAGAGGAAAGAAGGGGATGATGAGGATGACTGGTTAGCTGGGGCACTGAGCAGGAGGAAAGCTCTGTCCGCGTTAAACACAGAGGCAAAACCATCCAAGCAGGAAGAGTCTTTCACTGACTTCAGTGTTAGGTACGGTGCAATTTGAAGACAATAAGAGAAATGCTACAGAGACAGAAAGAGCATGTTCTCAGTAATGATTGATAACCTGATCTCATTTTTAGTAAACAAGTAACGTCACAAACTCCCAAAAGCAGAGAAGACACGCTTCCTTCAATCAAAGAAACGAGGTAAGGGGTTTGTTGTGTAAGTCCATTAAATCCATGGTAACGTTTTGGCCCTTTTTAAAAAAAAAAATGTTCCTTATATTTTATGTAGTGACACTTTTCCCGGACGCCTCGGTCCTGCTGCTCATTCTACGCCTGTCAGAGAAGAAAGGTCTAATCATGGTAGCTATCCTTCCATCTTATTAAAGTCACTGATTCAGATTGCCAGCAAATTTGCCCAATTTGCACATTTACAGCAAAAACCCTTTTGACCACTCCTCTCACACAATCATACTAGTTAATGTTAATCATTAGGCTGCTTCCCGTATACTTAAAAAAGCCATCTAATACCTAATCCTACCTTGTATCACATCATTTTAAAATAGAAATAAGTCATGAGCTCATATTTTTCTAAACCGTGTCTTCCTTTTCTCATACACTCTCCTTCTGTAGTTAACGAGTACACACCCACAGGCGAGTGTTACCTCCCCTCCACCTTAGCATCATCCCCATCAAACCCACTCCATCCATCAACTCTTAGTTCGCCTTATCATTCAGTTTACTCTGCTAGCGATACTGATTCCTTGTTAGCCTCTGCTGTTAGCATTAGCCAGCCTCAGCTTCAGTCCAAACCCCACCACTTTCCATCCAGTACAAGATCCAAGGTGCTAACAGAGCCCACTCAGGCTTCAAATGAACCCTTGCAACAACTACCTTTGCCCAGCCCCCTGTCTACTGCACTGCCCGGCACAATGTGGTGTAGGTAATCTCAGGGAAACGACTCAGTTCACTAAAATACCATCAGATTTCTCTCCAGTGCCTTAATATCAGATGTAGCGCCTCGGTGTGGTTGTTACTCATGTTTTTTGTTTTGTTTTTTCCTGCAGATCCGCAGCAAAATGCAACGCTAAACACGTCAGCTGCTTTCCCACAACAGGTACTGTTACCTTCATGCATCAAGGCTGTCATAATTGTAATAGATATGTTTTACCTCCACCAAGGAGGTGATGTTTTTGGCACCGCTTCTGTGTGTACTTGTCCTTCTGCCTGTCTGTGAACACGAAAAAATGGAGAAAAAGTCTTATAACTTAGAATCTATGATTCCTAAAAGTGCAGTGTGTATTGTCAGCATATAGAAAATGCTGTATAAAGATTTAAAATAAGTCACTGTTGACCTTTACGTCATAAGCTCAAATTATTCATGTCCAGTTAATTGCAAATCAATACCTATTATCCATTACCTACTCCTACATAACAAAAGCCTGCAGTTTGTAGAGCAGTAAAAACAAGTGCAAACCTCTTTAAGTACGTTTAAAAAGAACAAAGAAAACAAAATGAGCGCAGAGGAACTACAACATCGTTCCCTTTGAAGTAAATACCACCCAAAGACAGGTTTGTAGTCTCTGAGTTTTTCTTGTTGTCGTTTTTAATGCTTTCTTCTTTGGAACAGGCATCATTTTCAGCCGATAGTCTGCAGCAGCTGCTTCTCCAAAACCAGGTAAGGACCTCCTCACTTCCACAGACCTACTAATGGATGTAATCACCAGATTCATCCTTTAGTTTGTTTTTAATTTGGCTACTCTCTTTCAAAGCTGATGCAGACTCAGTTGCTGGGCCTAGGCGGTGTGGTTGATGCGGGACTCCTGCAGAGACTTAAAGAAAAAGAACAACCTGCAGACTATCAAGCTTTACAGGCCCGCGTCATCCAGTTGGAGGGACAGGTATGTCCTCATGTGGTGACAAGAAGGATGTGAGGTGTGATGGGGGGAGCATTGTTACTGTATTTTTTTTAAATTTATCTTTAACGTTTATCGTGTCATCATTCAGGTCAAGACTTTGCAGCTGGAGCGAGACCAAAGCCAAATGATGCTGGAGAGCATGCAGCAGCGGCACAAACAGGATATGGAGCTCCTGGAGAACGCACACAAGTAGTCCATTCCTAGACCACATCAATTTATCAATTCAGTTTAGCACATGAAACTGTGGAAGTCTTCTACATACACGTGTCTGTAACCCAAGTCTCTCTGTGTATTTTCAGAGCTCGTGTGAAACTGCTCGAGGATTCGGTTGCCCAGCGGGAGACTCAAGCGCGACATGAGTGCGAAGACCTGATGGAACGCCTGGCAACGGTAACGCGAGCGGCTGAGAAGGAACGCTCAGAGCTTCAGGCTCAGTACCAGCGGAAAATGGCCCAGGCCCAGCAGGAAAGAGACTGTGAGGTGGAGAGACTCAGAGACCTTCAGAGGTAAACGTAGGAAAACCTGTTTTATGGCAGCAGGTTGACTATGAAATGAAAGCAAGAACAAATTTTGTACAGTTAGCGACAAATTTACTGGCTGTGAAGTTGTAGGTTCAAACGACAACACCATAGGAAAGAAAGAAAAGAAAACCAGCCTTCTTTGCTTTATTGAAATTGGTTTGGGTTTTGGGATTTACTCAACTAAATTATCCAGATAACTCTGTGAAATAACTCAATAAGTCTCCAAATATTTTGTTTTTTATCGCAAATAGATGACTTTAAGGTTTAGTGTATATTTGTTGCATTGCTGCTCAGAAAATCTATCTTGGACATGAAGAGAGACTATGAGGATCAGATCCACAGGCTGAAGAGGCTAAAGGAAGAAGAGATCGATGCTGTTACAAGCGCAACATCTCAGACCAGGTAAGAAAATTCCCAAAAAGTCTAATTTACAGTCATACTTTAAATTTTTTTGCTTCTTTTTCTTTTGTGCACGATATCAGC